TGTGTGTGTGTGTGTGTGTGTGTGTGTGTGTGTGTGTGTGTGTTTGTGCGTGTGTGTATGTGTGTGTGTGTGTGTGTGTGTGTATGTATGTGTGTGTGTGTATACGTATTTGTACACAATATATATATATATATATATATATATATATATATATATATATATATATATATATATATATACATGTAGATAGATAGATAGATAGATATAGATATAGATATAGATTTACCTATACATGTATGTAATAGAAGAAGTGTGTACTTTATCATAAAAGTAAGATTGCAGTAATGATATTCATCACTAATTACAAAACTGCCGAACAGCAACAATAGTGAAGTCAACATAAAACGTGAATATAATCATCAATACGTATGTGAGGATGACCATCATGACACGGCAGGCCGAGTTACGTCATTCCACCACAGGCCTCAGCCTCTCGTGCGGAGCGGGTTAGGGCGTGCGCCGCGCCGCCCCTACGCCCGCCCGCCTACAGCTGACTGCCGGTGGTGTGTGGTGTCCGCCTGGGAGAAATGTCTGAGCAATACGGACGGCAGGTCACGCGCGCGCAGGGGGGGTAGGGGAGGATAGGTAGGGGCAGAGGGAGGAAGAGGGGTGGAGAAAGGGGAGAGAAATAGAATGGGAAGGAGACTGGGAGGAAGAGGGAGAAGAGGGTAGGGAAGAAGGGAGAGGAGGGGAGAGGAGATAGGGGGGATATGTGGAGGAAGAAGGGGAGAGAATAGGAGAGTAGGAGGGAGAGAGGGAAAGGGAAGGAAAGGGAGGGGGTGGAGTGGGGAAGGGGGGAGATGGAAAGGAAATAGAAGAAAGAGAGAAAAAGAAGGAAAGGGAGGAAGGGGTGGAAAGGGAGAAAAAACGAGAATGTGTCGCGGGAAAGAGGGAGAGGAAGTGGAAAGGAGCGGAGAGAGAGGAGAGGGGTGGAGGTGGCCCAAGGGGGTTCATCGCCAAGGTATTTATAGGTTAGATTAGTGCTTCTAAGTATTGACCTCGGAGGATGTTAGTGGACGTAACTCAGGCCAGGTACGTGCCATGGCGGACGTACTGCCCGCAAAAGGGGTAGAGACGGAGGGGGATAGGGAGGCTGGCGAGGAAGAGGAGGAGGGAGAGAGAAAGAGAGAGAATGTGTGAAGTGGGTGGGGGAGGGAGGGAAGGGCTAGATGTCAGGGAGAAACAAGAATAAAGAAAAAGGGAGAATGTGTGAAAATCAGGGTGGGAGGAAACTGTCAGGGAGAATGGGGAGGAGAAAAAAGGGAGAAAACGCATGGCGGAACATAGGAGAACCAAAATAAGTAGCAAGGCTGAGGAAAGTCGGAGGCACGCAGGCAGAGGGAGAGGGAGGGAGGGAGGGAAGGAGGGAAGGGCGAGTGAGTGAGTGAGTGATTATGTGAATGAGTGACTGACTTATGACTGACTGACTGACTGAGAGTGGGGGAGAGATTGAGTAATGTGGGAGGGAGAGAGAATGAGTGAGTGAGGGAAAGAGAGAATGAGTGAGTGAGGGTGAGAGCGAATGAGTGAATAAAGGAGAGAGGGAATGAGTAAATAAGGGAGAGAGAAAATGAGTGAGTGAGGGAGAGAGAATGAGAGAGAGAAAAGAGAGAGGATGAGAGAGAGAGAGAGAGAGAGAGAGAGAGAGAGAGAGAGAGAGAGAGAGAGAGAGAGAGAGAGAGAGAGAGAGAGAGAGAGAGAGAGAGAGAGAGAGAGGAATAGAAAGAAAGAAAAATAAAGAATCAAACAGGGCACAAAAAAAGAGAAAGTGACACCGAGCAAAAGAAAGACCCAAAGAAAATGGTGCCAATAACATGAAGATCCGGACGATATCGGAAAGATGTGTTCAGCGAGCGATGACAAGGTTTCAGAAGCGTTCCGAGGGCCGCAAGTAGGGTTCAGGGAGCAGTTAAGTACAGCACAGAGCATCGGCTAAGATAATAAGGTCAAGATAATAAGAAACTAGCGCGGAGGCAGGGGTGAGAAGCGCACAGCTGCTACAACATTCGATAAGGGGCTTCGATTCACTGCGATTCGATTTTTTTCTCTCGGTTTTTGGAATTTTGTCACTGATAGTTTATAAAACAAACGCGAGGGCAATGAATGCGCTGAACATGGTCATGATTATGATGATAATGATCATCACTATGGGGCGGTTGATGACAGCAGTAATGGCAACAATTAGGATTATTGAAGTAACTATATATATGGTGCAAATGACAATAATAGTCGTGGTAATAATGATGATAAAAATAATAATATTAAGAATTATGATAATGTCAGTGAGGATAATTTCATTGATAATAATGATGCTAATCATAATGATATTAGTGATAATGATACTATTAATGATATTTAATTACTAATTAATAATCCTAATGATAATAATGATAATAATAATGATCGTGATGATAGTGATGATGACAGTGATGGTAAAATTATAACAATAATTGTAATAATTGTAATAATGATAATAATAATAATAATAATAATAATAATAATAATAATAATAAAATAAAATAAAATAATAATAATGATGATAATGATAATGATAATGATAACAATGATAATAATAATGATAATAATAATAATAATAATAATAATAATAATAATAATAATAATAGTAATAATAATAATAATAATGATAATGATAATAATAATATTGATCATGATTATGATAATTATAATGATAATGATATTGATAATCATAATAATAATAATAATAATAATAACGATAATAATAATCTCTCTCTCTCTCTCTCTCCGTCTTTCCCTCTCTCCCTCTCTCCCTCTCTCCCTTTCTCCCTTTCTACCTCCCTCCCTCTCTCCCTCTCACCTCTTAAACACTCAAATGTAAATATATATATATTTATGTAAAGAATAACCATTGTAATTTATATGGAATAAAGTATTTTGACTTGACTTGACTTGACTCTCTCCCTTTCTCCCTGTAAGAGTTTATATAAGTACCTCTAAACATTGGTGACAGGGAGTAGTAAAAGCTTTGTGGCTTAAATCTCTTTTATTAAATATAAGAGTTAGCACACGTAGTTGTTAACACAAGGATGACACTTGGGTATCACGCGATCAGCTGGGAGGGGACGGTCAGCCCTGACCCGTGCCGGACAGGCTGCCGACCTTGGGTCAGCCAGCAGCAGGCACACTCTGTCTTGACAGGATCATCCTTGGAGAATAAGTACCACCGGAAGCAGGGGCGGAGCCACAGAGGCGTGGCTAAGGAAACTGCCAGTGCCCGACCTTCACGTGGGCGTGGCCGCCTGCAGCGGGCCCCCAGGGCCTGGGGACACTGGTCATTTTTCCCTTTGCCTTGCCCAAGGGCGTGGCAGCCTGCAGCGGGCCTCCAGGGCCTGGGGCTGACCTCTCTCTGCAGCTGCACTCCCTCCCTCTCTGCAATCCCTCTCACCACTGTTTCCACAGGGACGATGCGAAGGACACAGCCCGACTGACGAACACCTTCAAAGTGGAGTCGTGGCACAGCATGGTGGTGACCAAGAACCTCCACCACCCTCTGAACTTCACCAGGGAACTCATGAGTCACTTCTTCGAGGCCGCCATGACCTGGATTTACGACGTGAGCCAGAAGGATACTGACTATATGTGAGCCTTTTTCTGTTCTGGTGTAGCTGTGTATCTACGTGTGTGTGTGTGTGTGTGTGTGTGTGTGTGTGTGTGTGTGTGTGTGTGTGTGTGTGTGTGTGTGTGTGTGTGTGTGTTTGTGTGTGTTTGTGTGTGTGTGTGTGTGTCTGTGTAATGTATACAGATGAAGTCGGATTGTTTATCGGTTAATGCATAGGCCTAGTTTTTCTTCTTTCTTAGACTTTGCAATATACTTCACGTTGAAAGTATAGGTACTTCATAAATAATCCAAATTCGTAATATGCTCCCCCAGTTATCCCAACATAGCCTGGGACACCTTACATCACGCGGGGGCTTCACAGATCCACCCACACATCCACATGATGATGGCTCCTGACCATTACTACGGCTATTTTGAACTTCTCCGCTCGGCCGCCCAGAGGTACTACGAAGAGAAAGGGGAAAACTACTTCAATGCTGTACTCGAGGTTCATGCTGCCTTGGGACTCGTGGTGCATTATGGGAAGGCCGTAGCGATCTCAACTGTGGTGAGTGTGAAAGAGAAAGGGGTTGTGATTATAATGATGATAAAATGCAAGAGATTGTGATTATAACGACGATATAATTTGAGAAACTGTAATTATAATGAAGACAAAAGTCAAGAGATTGTGAGGAAAACGGTGACAGAATCCAAGAGACTGTATTTATCCCGGATGTGGTTATAAGTAAACACACGATTAGTCAAATTAACTTTTTATTGGCCGAGCTTACAAAGGTGTTCAGCAGTCATAGCCTAGCCGATGAGTGCCCTGTGATTCCGGACTCCACAGCTTAAATGGGCCAGCCGCGACGTCTACTCACCGGTCAGGTTGCGGTGATGGGCGGGAGCCGAATCGTCCAACGGGATGAGCCTGGCTCTATCGTGTGCGGAGGCTCGTCGCGGAGTGGTCACCACACAGCGAGAAAATCCATGAGATTGCGATTATAACGGCGGCAAAATTAAGATAATAGTGATTTTAGCGATGGCAAAATTCCCTGAAAAATTATGACTGTAACGGCGATATATACGGAATTAGTGTTGTTATTATCTTATTTTAATTATTACTATCATAAATGTTCACATGATTTTCTTTTGACATTAGTAATATCGCTATCGATATAACCATTACAATTATTACAGATAATGGTATCAACATTCCTGTTTGTAGTACTTTCCCTGCAAATTTAACCACTGTATCTGCTGTTTCCTCCAGACTGGAAAAGCCGACCTGGAAGTAATGTTCCTGAGCGAGAGCCCGAACGAAGACTTCTACCACCTCATTTACTACACAATCAATGCGTACCACGATACATTCACACAGCTTTGCAAAGGGTATGTAAAACCGCATCTTATATTGTACATT